TGCCAAACATGGTCCCTCCGACCTCTATCACCTCCTCGATTACAGTCCCTTGACCTCCGTCACCCATTGATTATGGTCCCTTTAGCCACCCTAGACCTCCGTCGCCCGCTGACTAATATCCCTTCGACCGCCATCACCCACCATCTACGATCCCTCCGACATCCATCGCCTACCAATTATGATCCCTCCGACCACCATCGCCCATTGATAATAATCCCTCTGACCTTCATCTCCCACCAATTACAGTCCCTCCAACCTCCATCTTTTACTAACTATATTCCCAACAACCACCATCACCCTTCGACTACAGTCCCTCCGACTACCATCACCCATAAACTACGGCCCCTCTGATCTCCATCTGTGACATCCTAAAACCTAATTTAGAATATTCTTTCTTTTATCTTTTATTATGCAACAACCAAAGCTATCTAATTTCATGTATCAACAAAAAATAACAAAAAAAATAATAATTTAAAATATCAATACATATCTTTATTCATTAAACAAAAATAAATCATATATATACAATGTTTAGAAATCATACAATCAAAATTTATCCTTTCATGTAAGAGTACAAAAGAATAATTAAAATAAAAATTAACAAAACCTGGGGAATATTGATCAGTCTCACACTCCTAAATCTCATTCCTGGCAAAAAATTATTTAAATTACATATAATAAGCTAAACAGTTCAATAGGGCATTAAAATCCTATAACTGAATTCAAAGTATGGAAAGGAAATAGTATGCATGTTGTTAGTTACTTTATTATAATAATAGTAATATGATTAAGAATCTGTGCAGAAATAGTAAAACTCATATGAAATAGCAAAAGAAATTATAAATTATAAAAATTATGATATAAAAGCCAGCAAAATAGTACAATGAGGAAATAAGTAAACCATCATAAGTGTTGAATCAATAAAGTAGTCGTCGTATCAATATTATCATTCAGTAAAGCAATCGTATAAAGCGATAAAATAAAAGCGTCGATAAAGACTGACAGAATCATATCAATGAAATAAAATTATAGAGTGTACGCATACTATCCAAGTATTCTATATTAGCATCAAATCATTATATTATGCGTTGATCAATATGTCACATGCTTAGTATCAATATGATGAATCTGTGGTATCAAATAATATCACTATTTATATCAATTATAGTAATAATCTAGTGGTATGAATGGTAAAAAAATGCTATAATAATAAATTCATATAGTAATAATAAATCAATACAATATATAATAGAAACAATGATTCAATAACATGTATTTTAATAATCATACTAAATAAGTAAGAAATCATAATTTAATTGATATTTTTTAATATTATATTAGTATCAGTAAATTGAGTCATTACTCTTTTTTTCTATCAACACAGTAATAACTTCTTATAACTCTTAATATTTATATTATTGTATCAGTAGATGATAACACTCAATCATAGTATTCAAAGAAAAGCCCGTCAGCCCACCATCTTGTATAGATCAATTAATCTCCAACTAATGGGTCAATCAGTATTTACTTGTATTTTATATACATATATTATTATCACAGTATTATAACAGTAACAGCGACCAACTATTACTCAATCACATATTCATATTCATTTTCAATGTATTGGGTAAATTAAATATAATTGGGCTTAATTCAAAAAGTGTCAAAATGTTGTAACGATAAACAACAAAAAATCATAATGAGCATAAATTTATATATTTAGAAATTAACCAAATTACTAGGGATTGTATATGACAATATTCTAAAGTTTTCATTGAACTAAAGCACTATTTTTATATATCAAAATAAATTTCTAAATTGATAAAAGTTATTATTTTTTCAAAATTATCTGACAAAAAATCTCAAATAAATTCTCAAAATATTCATATTTTTAATCTCTATAGCATATAAAAGATTATGTGGTGAAAATTTTATCAATAAAAATTACCCTCATTTTTTGACAATTAAAATACAAATTTGATCGAGTAAAAAAAATACAAAATTATTAAAATTAAAAGTACGATAATGATTCCTTATGATGAGACTAGGAAATCTCTTAATAAGAATGAGCGGAGAAAATCACTCCACGATCTCTAAATCATAAGTTCTTTCTCTCTAAATTCTCTTATATGTTCTCTATTTAGCTGAATGAGGGGAAAATGAAAAAGGATTTAATGGATTCATTAGTGGAATATGATATTTAAAAATAAATAATACTATAATATTAATATAATTATAATTTATTCAGTTTTCAATGTAAAACTTATATAAATCCTTCTTGGGCTTCAAATTTTATAAAAAGTATCCAATAAATAACCCAATTTAAAAAAAAAAAAATTGGTGAAATTGATTTGCAAAACATGCTCCTAACGATCTTAAAACCCTCACTTATATCGATAAGTATCAGTTTCTTATGAATTTGTACCAATGTCCAAAATTTATGTAAAAATTAGTGTAATTAAAGAACTATAATATCAATATTATAGTGAAGGCGATTTGTGATTTAGACTTATAATGATTCTTTAAAAAAATTAGTAGGGCAAATTATAGGCTATTACATTATCGCACACCAACTACGATCCTTATGACCTTCGTCGCCTATCAACTACAGTCCATCCAACCTTAATTTGTCGCCCGCATACTATGATCCTTCTGACCAATATCATAGCCTAACTACGGTCCTTCCGATCCATCATCCTTCAACTATGGTCCCTTTGACAACCTTCACCTAATTACGATTTCTCCTACCTCCGTTGTCCAACTATAGTACCTTCGACCACCGTCGTCCCAACTATAGTCCTATCAACCAAATGAATAGGCCAACACTCTCTTAAGAACAACTCTCATATCACTAGATTGTTCCAACAGCCACTATATAATGTGCTCTATATGATGTATATTATTGGTTGTGCATCATTTATAATCAACAATAAATACTAGTATAATCATTTCAACTAGGCTAGACCCCATAATTTTTCTCCCTTTTCAGGTTTTTCACGTAAAAATTATTGTTTCTTATGACTCTCCCATCCCTCTCCCTATCTATATTTGTGATGAATCTACATTTAAAGCTAAGAATTTAAGTTGTTTATCTCTATATCGCTACGAATGTTTCAGCATGCAACAAGTGCAATTATATTAATTGACACAGATTCCACTCAAAACTAACAATCTTAAAAGAAGGACCATCTTATATAACATATGCTTAATATTTATTATTAAATAAAAAAATTATTTATAAAAAAAAAAACTCACATGATAATAGAGATTTTTATGTGTTGAGAAATTTGCAGAAGAGAAGCATTAACTAATTCTCTCATAACCCAGTTGCATGCTCTTTAAAACCCAAAGTAGTAAAAGCTAAAACCACTTGCACAACCATGGTTATTAAAATCGAACCGGTCCAACTTATTGAATCTTGAACCGGCCAATCATATCGGTGGTTCAATTTGAATATGAAACTGGATTTGCAAAGAACCATCGGAGAACTGCTCGAATCGGCGGTCGAACCTGCAAATAGAGAACCGGGTCCGATTTTCCAAAACCGCATGGTTTAAACATAATGAAATCTGAGCCGTTGGATTTTGATCAAGTGTTCCATATCAAAAAAAAAAAAAAAACCTAATAATCATATTCCAATCTTGTTACTCTTGTTTCCGAGAAGTCGTCGTTTCTTTGTTCGCACAAAGGTCATTGCTCCCGTTCCTTCCTCTTCATTAGGTATTCCATTTTCATTCGCGAGCTCCACAAGCAGATACAAGTCTCTTACAGGCGAAGTTCCTTCTAGCACAAGCAATGTTTTTCTTCCTCTCTACTCGGCATCCTCTTGGTATGATTTTTGTAAATCTAATTTTTATGTCTTGTTTTTGTGTGTGTTTTGTTGCGTCCAGTAGTATTCGCGGCGGTAGATAAATATCATATTTAACGTCTTAGCATTGTACGAAAATCTGGCACGCAATCAGATAAGCAGAGAGGGTCTAGCATTTATGAGACACCAGATTGGGTTGATCTTGGTGTCGTTGGGTTCGTATTTCCGAGACGTTCAGTTTGATTATAAGTTTGTTGAAATCGGAATTCAGGTGCTCCCAAAATTAATTTTTGAAGTTTCCAACTAGCTTTTGCCTCGAGATTCGTGCCCGATCAAGCCAATTTGGTGATGACGTATCATGTTTATTTTTCTACATGATTCTCTATTGTAGATCTTGAAATTGTAACTACTATCGTTTGCGGCATTTGTGAATAGTTTGCATTGAGATTTCTATAGTATTGCTTGATGTTTATTTAGATCTCTAATATTAAATCTTTCGTTAGATGTTCATTCAGACTTTCTTTTTAGTTAAATGTGGCTATCTTATGAGAGATTGAAGATTGTGAATGCATTGCTTATTCTTTATTTACACATATTTTTACATGATAATATTATTTGTAGGTTTTATTTTGATATTACTACAAGTTTGTAATATATTTATTTTTATTAATGTGGATATACTAATTTTATTAATTTTTAATAATATTATTATTTATTAGATTATCTGATTAGTAGAATATTTGATCCAATTTTTATAACCTAGTGGACAACATTCAAGTGGGCCCACCTCACATCTCTACCCATCGAACAATTATTAGGTCAGGTGATTCTATGTAGCTCTACCATCGGACCGCCGATAATATGCCGCCATGTGCTCTTACATTTTACCGCGCGACCCACGACGTGACCCGGACTGGAACCTGGGATTGCTATATTCGCGTATTGCTCGGTATTACTCGGTATTGCTTGGCGATAATGCAAAATACCGCTCTGTCAAGACCAATACTCGGTATTGCTTGACAATAACGCGAAATACCGCTCTGTCAAATAAAAGTTCCTACCCATCGGTTCAAAATCTGACCCCCCGGAAGCGACGCTTCGCTCTCCACGTGATCGCCGTGCATCATTCTAATTCTGTGAGTCGCGTTTTGTCTCTATTTATTTTTCTTTTTATTATAAAATTCTAATAGCCCTAAGTCCTGACCTTTTTTGTTGCCGTGCTCTTGTCCCCGGCATCAGTCTTTTGAATCTCCCCCGCTCCGCCACTTTTCACACCCTCTCTGCTTCAAATAAAATCTTGGCAAGCACTTCCCGCTCTCTTTCAAGAATGGAGGTCTCAATGAGGAGCCCAGAGAGATCTATGGTGTGGACGGAGCCGAAGAACAGAGGTATGGTTCCAGTTGTGTACTATCTCTCCCGGAATGGCCAGCTCGAGCACCCTCATTTTATGGAAGTAACACTTTCGTCTGCCCGTGGTCTCCATCTCAGAGGTACACGTATCGATTCGATCGGCTTTTATTCCAGAAATTGCAGAATCTGTGATCTTACTTTCTTCTTTTTTTTATCCACAGATGTGCTTAATCGGCTTGATTTTCTTCGAGGGAAGGGTATGGCGAGCATGTATTCTTGGTCCGCCAAGAGGTAGGTTCACGCTTTATTTTTTGTGTGCATTTTCCTCTTCTTGGTTGTGCTGCTTAGTGTTTTTAGAAGTGATTTCAGAAACTATAAGAACGGATTCGTATGGCACGATCTCTCCGATGACGATCTTATTCACCCAGCGCATGGAAACGAGTACATACTCAAAGGTTCCGAGCTTCTCCACGGTTTCCCATCCTCACAGAAAACGCAGGAAACCTCAGAATCTCAAGAAACCCCTAAATCGGAATCTGGATTCATGCCGATTAGACGAAAGAACACGGCGCGGAGCTCCCGATCTCTCGATCTTAGCGAGTACAAGGTCTACAAGACCGATCTCACAGCGTCCTCCGCCGTGAACGCAGACGCTGCAACTCAGACGGACGACAAGCGCCGACGCCGGCGAGCTCAAGCCAAGGACGACGAGGCCGACCGGTCGTTGGTCATTCGGCCGGAGGAAAATCCTAGAACAGAGCTCGGCTGTGATGAGATCTCACCGCCGCCGTCTTCTTCGAGCCCGGAGACTCTCGAGACTCTGATCAAAGCCGACGGAAGCATCATCAGCTCCGCCTCCGCCGGCGTCAGCGAAAATTGTCATTCCGGTCGGTTCCGGGCGTCGGCATCGGCGGTCGTGATGCACCTCATATCGTGCGGCTCGTTTTCGCTGGTCCCGCCGTGCCGGACAGTACTGCAACGTGGAGCTTCATCGGATGATCAGGAGATTAGGGAAATGAACGGTGTGATGGGGATTTCGGGATTGAGCGTTGAGGAAAAGGAGTACTTCAGCGGCACTTTGGTAGAGATGAAGAAGAAGGGCGATGGCGGCGATGGGGTTTCGGACTTCCCCGCGCTCCAGCGTTCATCATCGTACAACGCCGAGAGGTAACTCGCTAAAACGACTACTTCGTAACCGTTTGATTTACAAAATCATTGCACGTGGCTTACGTGGCTTTTGCCTTTTTGGCACTAGAAAGGGTCTGGTCTTTCTTATGATGGGTCATGTCAGATTTTACAAGATTGGTCTGTCGTATTTATTTGCGATCTCGGAGATTTTTTTTTTGTCAGTGGAAAATCACTTCCGTCCATTTTGGCGGGACCACTTAATCACCAATCTTTTGATTTTGTTGGAGGAGAGGATGAGAAGATCATCTTAACTAGATGATTTAAAAAAAAAAAAAATATAAATTTAGATCAATTAAAATAAATTTATACTATAATAATTTAAATTTAAGACTTTTTAATTGAGTCAAACTATCAATTAACAAATTAAATTGAGTTGCATTAGCTAAAAGATTCACATGTATGTCATAAATTTTTATGTATCTAATATTTAAAATTTTATATTTATTTTAATAATATTAATTTTCTATTATATTTGAGTGGGTTACAAAAGTTGACCCCGTTTGTTAACTTATAGATTGTGAAATTACAATAGTTTTGAGAGTTGATCAAATTATATATGGATACTCGAGAGTTTGTAATGACCATGTTCGTAGGACAAATGTTAGAAATCTGGTGGCAGCAGTCGGGAGGTCTAGCAGAGTTCGTCAATCAAGCAAAGGTTCAACGGTGATTAATGGCTTGGCGAAGGTTCAACGTTGATCAACGATTTGGTGGTGGTTCTCAAATTATATATGGATACTCGAGAGTTTGTAATTACTATGTTCGTAGGACAAATGTTAGAAATCTGGTGACAGCGGTCGGGAGGTCTAGCAGAGTTCGTCAATCAAGCAAAGGTTCGACGGTGATTAATGGCTTGGCGAAGGTTCAACGTTGATTAACGATTTGGCGGTGGTTCATCGGTGATCGACGATCTGGCGGAGATCGATTGGTGATCGGCGGTCGGGCGGAGGTCCAGAGGCAATATGGGAGATCCGATGGTGATCGGCGGTCGGGCGGAGGTCTAGAGGCAATATGACAAAAAATTGCCTATGGTTGTGCTCAAGTAGAGCTCTAGAATCCTTGAAGCCTCAAAGCTCTCTCTAATCTCTAACAAAAGACTCCCCTGATGTAGAGAAAGGGTGTATATTTATAAATTCTGAGAATGATAAGGTATGTAAATATTGAGAATATTTAGAACAAATTCGGAGTGCTCTATCAGACGACTCATATGAATTCTCTCAATCATAGAACATTCATGTAGCATTTAATTGCTCTAATGCTGTCGAAATTAACTGGTCTTCAGCTCGTTGGATTCATCCTGTTGAGCAACTCGATTTGACTATAAACATGTTATATTTTGATATCATTTGGTCATCCAATTAATATCCTAAAGCTTTCCCAATATGCTTTAAACCTTTGAACTGATCCCATTTGGCTTCGGATTGGACCGATTGTGGTGTTGTTGTGTTCGTCTTAGTGAGATGTTCAATTTAACTGTATGTTCGTTGAAATTGGGGTTCATAGGGTCCCAAATTTAACTTTGAAATATGACAATTTGAATATGCATCAAGATTCATATTCCATCAATGTGATTTTTTGTTGAGTTATCAATCATTAATGTTAATTTATTTAAAATAAAATATATATGTTTATGTATATATTTTAATTTTATATAAATTTAAGATGTTAGATTATTAAATATATATTTAATGATAAATGATTCGGTTTAAAAAATTGATGATTTAATATAAAATAGAATTCGACTATTCTCTAAATTAAGTGGTTTATTTTCTTCATTTTTGTATCGTGTTTCCGCATTCATGCAGATTTTTTTATTTATTGCAGGAGTGTGAATGCCTTAGAGGAGGAGGACGGCTCCCGTTTGCAAAAACGGGTCGGGTTCGGGTTGACCCGTTTAGATCCGGGTTGGGTCGGGTTCGACCCGAACCTGACGGGTTGACCCGAATTGACACTCCTACATAAATCTATAAATAGACCTCTCATTTCTCTTGAAAGGGGAACCAAGCAAGAAGAAGAAAAGAAGAAGGAGAAGAGAAGAGGAGGATAGGAGGGAAGAAACTCCTTCTCGACCACCGCCATCGGAATTCTGCCCTAGTGATATCAGAATTCTGCTCGACCTCCAAGTGACGCCGAAATTCCGCCAGACCTCCAAGGGACACCGAAATTCCACTAGACCTCCAAGTGATGCCAGAATTCCGCCCGACCTCCAAGTGACGCCGAAATTCTGCCCGACCTCCAAGTGACGGCGTCGGGGTTTCACCTGAACTCCAAGTGACGCCGGAGTTCTGCCAGAATACCATCTAACGTTGGAGTTCTCCTCGGTCGCCAACTAACATCGGACTTCTATCCGATGACGGACCTCCACTCGTCGCCAAGTTTCTACCTGAAGCTGAACTTTTATCGGTTGTCGAAATTTCGCTGGACATCTATCTGATGTTGGATTTCTTTCCATTTTTGTACTTCTTTCTGACGTCGTCCTCCTAACCTTCGTAATCAGACAACAGTCCTTCTGACATCCGTCGCATGTGGACTACGGTCCTTCTGATTTACGTCGCCCACCGACTACAGCCCTTCTGACCTCCGTCGCCTTCCGACTACGATCCTTCTGAACTACGATCCTTCTGATTTACGTCGCCCACCGACTACAATCCTTCTGACCTCCGTCTCCTGTCGATTACGGTCCTTCTGATTTACGTCACCCACAGATTACAGTCCTTCCAACCTCCGTCGTCTATCGACTACGGTCCTTCTGACTTACTTCGCCCATCAATTACAGTCCTTCCAACCTCTATCGCCTGCCTATTACGATCCTTCCGACTCATGTCGCCCACCGACTACAATCCTTAAGACTTACGTCGCTTATCAACTACGGTCCTTCTGACCAAATGAACATATCAACAGTGATTCTTTGTATTCATATCATTTAATGTACTCTATAAGATGTACATCATGCTAAGGCCTTCCTCAAAGGAAGGACCTCATTTGTAATCAACTACAAATACTAGTGTTCATTCAAACTGAGCTAGGCCTCGTAGTTTCTCCCCTTTTTCAGGGGTTTTCAACGTAAAAATATTAGCGTCTCGAGTGAATGCTACACCCTCTCTCTTATCTGATTGCGTGCCGAATTTTCGTACAAAGTTAAGATGTTAAATTTTATATTTCTCTACCGCCACAAATACTCCCGGACGCAACAATCGTAATATATTTTATATAAATATCCACAAGTTTTTCTTCCATTTTATTTATTTATTTATTTGGGAAATTCCTCAATTTTATCATCTTCTTCGTAGGATTGCCGAATGCTGCGGTCTTTTTTTTTTATATAATTTGAAAATTAATAGCAAGTCAACTAGCCAAGGTCTTGGTGGTTGATGTCTTGATGATGTGTTGCAGTTCAAGCGGTCTTTTTGGGCCTTAATACCAAAGACTAGCTGTTCCCGGTCTACTCATTAACTAGGCTTTTTTTTTTTTTTTTTGAAAAATTAGGGGCAAATATGTCAAAATTTCATTAAAGAATAAAAAATGTCACAAAATTTCAAAGATGTAAGAAAAGCAAGTATTAACTAGGCTTAACTGTTGGTCTACTTTGACCTAAGGACAAGCTATTCCAAAAGCTATCCCGTTTGTCAGCTTTAGATAGTTTGGTGGCCCACCCATTTAAACTGATTTTAGTTTCATTTTTTTTTGAAAATTTGTATTTTAATTGGAGTTTGTTGAAACTAAGAGGAAGATTTTGAGAGCTCATCTTGAGCTCTTCTTGCAAGTGAGAGAGAGAGCGAGAGAGACAAGCAATTTGGAGGAATACAATTAAAGCTTATTCAGATTTTTCTCCAACTCATTACATCTCATACAATGCCTATTTATAGGGCTTTATAAGGGTGTGATAACTTGCATGAGCAACATAACCTAAACCCTAAATCAACTCAAAACATAGTTCAAGGATAAATTATTCTGTGCGGACCACGTCATGTTTTTGCTCTGCATCAGTGTTGGATACCACTGGGTATCGGGCGACGTGGTGCGTTCTGGTTGGCCTCCAAACCATCCAATGTCCGCATAGAATAATTTCCCGAGTTCAAGAGGGTAATCGCTGAACTTTTAAGTACCAATTCAGAATGTATCAGTATAATGAAATTGAAGCAGAAGGAAAGCAGAAAGACAACAAAGCTCATTTATACCTGTCAACTGATAAATGAAATTAGGCAATTGGGAACTTCTACAAATTTGTAAACATTAATAAAGTGGGATGTTCAAGAGTGTTTTGTTCAAATAATGAAGCAGGAAGAAAATAGTGAAGACAGATGAACATTCCTCAGTTGTTATTTTGCTAATGAGAAAGAAGATGAACATATCACCTCAGAGCATGATTTTATTTTTTTGTTTTCTTGTATGTTGGAACTTGGAAGTAGAATTGGACACAATGTGATGAAATCACTACAGCTGAGGCATTGACTGAACCAAATTTTATTTGGTTAGAAGTCTACTTCAGGAAGTGGACGGTGAACTTGTTTCAAAAACAAGAAGAAAGCATACCTTGATAAAATAATGAATCTAAGTAGGAACCTTTCCAAGACGGATTGACTTTTTAAAGCTGATTAAGATTTCATTTGGGACGGCTTTCTTATTGCTTCTTAAAACAACTTTTTAGTATAAAAATTTTAATTTTTATATAAGAAAGCCGTCTCAAACAAAATCTAAAGCTTCGTTTGGGCCGGCTTTTTTATTTTTGTATGAAAACTCTGTTTTAAGAAGCAATAAACGAAGCCTAACCTGCCAAGTGCCAACAAACAAATATTTTTATGATAAAAAATAAATGAAATTTCTCATAAGAAACATGAAAACCATTAATTGCCTTATTATTACATGATGTTTTCTCCAATTTGATCTCTTTGGTAATTAGTAAATAAATTGCAAGTATTCATATAAGAATCCAGAATGGTTTGAATTACTTCCATGTATTTTCAGGATATATGTCATAATAATTTCAAAGAAAAAGTGGACTATAGCAACTTCAAAAGGTCTACAAATGTATCATATTTTTACACGATGAATATTTTTCAAAGTCATAAGAATTTATAGATCAATAAATGGTCAGAAAAAGTGGCAAAAAAAGCATCTCTATGTATACACAAGGAATACAAAGCAAGAGTTCATAGATTCTGCATAGGCCCCCTATGGTAGCTTGCAGTTATAAAATCTATTTTCAAGAAAATGATGGCATATCTTCACTCAATATTGAGTGTAAAAAAAAAGTCTTATTGAGTGATAATGAAGGTGTTTGTAGAGTCTAAAAACCAAGTTGATTTCTAACCACATCCAAATAAATGATGGAATCTAATAGATTTATACTTTTATTAAAAAAATATTTTTTTTTCTTTTTTAATTCAAGCAGCCAAATGAGCTCTGGCACAAGAAAAGTTATTTTGTGCGGACGTCAACTGTCGTCCGGAAACCAATCAGAATGCGCCATGTCATCCCTTCGCTCGGTACTGCGGCCTGGTATTGCTGACGTGGTTGCACCTGATTCGCCTCCGAATGTAGAGCTGCGTCCAGTGTTCACACAGAATAATCTCTCCTTGCACAAGATGAATTCTCATTAGAATCTTATGAAGGAAAACAAAGCTTTTTTCTTTTTCTAATTCCTGTAAGAAGAAAAGAAGCGCAATTGATTAGCAACCCTCTTCTTTCCCTCAATTTACTCAAACAGAGCAAGTTAATACTTTCTAGGGTGATGGATTACTCATTTTTCTCTTTCTAAAAACAGTAATGAAATCAACATGTCCTATCCAAATCTCTGCACGGCATATCATGACAATAATCGATGGTTTTCATCATGAGCATTTCTTTGTTTTGTTTAATAACATTGAGTTGTAATTTTGTTTTATAGTATTGCGGTAATTATTTTTACACTGAAATGAAATTGGGCTCTGCTCCTAATATTATCAAAAAAAAAAAACTCAAGCCAGAAATTTGGTTGACAATGACTCCATTTAAACTTCAAAAAAAATTTGAGGGATCCACTTCAGAATACTTTCATCTTGTTGTTCCTGTAGAGATAAAGAAAACTGCTAATCTAGTTGGATTCAAAGAAGCCATTGATGATCTTTAGCAGTCAGCAACAAGTAAAAAGAGTAACGGCTTATCCATTTATCCACAGACAGAATAAACAGTATAATGTTTTCAGTCTTCTCAATGTGTTTTTCTAGTATCCATTGATGTCAAACAGTAGAGAAATCACTTTCACAGAAAATTAGAACGGATGTGAAGTATATTTTAAGGGCCAAAGTGGGAAACCCACAAATTGGAGCCTTCCATATCACCATACATTGGCTTATGAAATTATTAGGTGTGGAAACCGAACGCCATCCAGAGCCTAATGAAAATGCACCACGTCACCCCTACTCGGTACAGTGGCTCGGTACTGCTTGGTACCGAGGCTCAATACTGAGCTCGATACTGTTCGGTACTGGATGATGTGGCTGCACCTGATTGGCCTCTGGACGGTAAGTTGTGTCCGGTGTCCGCACAGAATAATCTCTCCCTTGGCTAAGGGTTAGATTCCACTTTCCAAGAAATATATGGTTCTACTATCATATAAAACAAGAACTACCTCTTGATCTTAAAGCTGCAATCAGTTTATCTCTGATGACCTTTCAGCTTTTGCAGCTTGAAAGAATGATAGAATAAGTTCATATTTCATTCAATTGACCATAAACTCTCAGCCTTCACTTATTTAAATTTTGCTAAGTGTGGGGTAAAAGTTTCATTAACTATCTTGGATAGGACTTGGTCAAAATTTTGCGAAATTGATGGCTACATTCACATTTGATTTTTTAAGAACGCTTGATTTTCCAAGATGGTGGGACAAAGCTCAAGCTTCATTAAATTTAAGCTTGTACCTATCTTGTCTAAGCACCATATAAAGTATGGTTGCATTGTGTTGAAGGATCTTATAACAAGAAGCAACAAAAGAGGAGAGAATTGTCATCCAAGAAAGAAAAATAGGTCTCTTCAAGTGCTTGCATGGGGAGTACTTTAGCTTCTTCAAGAAGAAAGAAGTGTTGTTATTTCGCATATCTAACAAGAGAAGAAGCTCTTGGTCATAATAGGAAATAGTTCTCATTTGGAATCCTACAATTAAGAAAGGAAAGAGTAACTAGAGCAACAATAGCAACTCCTCCACATATTTGTAGCAGGTGGCTGGATTTTCTCTCAATTAGATAAAGTGATATCTTTATCAAAAACTCTAATTTTGCATAAAGAATAATTCTTCTTATATCTCTTTTGAAGCTTAGTGGATCATTCGATCTTTGGACTACTACGAACTTAAGCTTGCTTAAGTTGAATCACGTAAATTTTAGTGTTATCTTTATAGTGTGTGATCTCTTTTGCAATTATGTTGTGGTTCACTGTACTTGCACTTAATTGAAAACAAAAAATTGTTGTAACAACTAGAAGAAGAAAAAACAATCCATGATGTTGCTTATACTACTAAATAAATGGAAGCATATAATAACGATAGAAGAAGTGATATTACAGATTCTCCATAGAAAAAGCAAAAAATAAGGTTGGGTACTTAAGTCTCTTTTTTGACAAGTGACATAAAAAAAAAACAGTAATTCTGCATCAATCTCACTCTACGCTATTTAACAAAAAGCTAAATAAAAATAAGTGTGAACGTCATAACTTCTCAAATGATAAGCAGTTTACAGTATGAAATTCCACTAGTTAGGACATCACCTATCCACTTCTCGTGCCTATAAATTAGAAAGTAGAAATGCCCCCAAGGCTACTAATCTTCCAAGCAAAACAAGTTGCAAGCTGTTTCTGAGGAGAGGAGAAGGACAAGCTTCTTCCAGATAATCCTATAAAGACAACGCAGAAGAGGTTGATGGTGGTGGTGAGTGAAGAGATACGCAAAGGACCATGGACCGAACAGGAAGACCTGCAACTGGTATGCTTTGTGAGCTTGTTCGGTGAACGTCGTTGGGATTTCATAGCAAAAGTGTCAGGTTTGAGTGGTGGCGGGGGCTACTACGTAGGTTACAGGTGGAGCTAACAGTTTAACAATACAAAGGGCTTTTGTTTATCTTTTGCAGGTCTTAACAGAACAGGAAAGAGCTGCAGGTTGCGCTGGTTTAATTACCTTCAACCTGGCCTCAAGCATGGACGCATGACACCACAGGAAGAACGCCTCATTCTTGAGCTCCACTCTGAATGGGGCAATAGGTTTCATTATATTCTTCACCATAACTCATCTTGCACTTATCAACCTCTCCTATTCTACTGTTCCATTGAGCTGGTTGATCTTTGCCATATCAAACAAGTTTTTTTTTTTTTTCTCTTCGAACAATTCTAAGATAAAATGATGAAGTTTTGGCTGTAGGTGGTCTCGCATCGCTCGAAGACTCCCGGGCCGAACTGATAATGAGATAAAAAACTACTGGAGAACCCATATGAGAAAAAAAGCACAAGAGAGGAAGAAAAACTCTTCTTCCTCAGCTTCAACGATTTCAACTTGCCTCTCTACTCACAGTGCATCACCATTAGATGCAACTACAACGAAAAACGAGGAAGATGGGAGTTCTTTGATTACGGAAAAAGAATCCAGAGAAAAAGAATATGCTGTTAATGTGTATCCTATGGAACAGATATGGAATGATATTGCCTCCTTGGAATCAGGAGGCTCGAGCTTTGCCCAGTGCACGGTTGAGCGTTGCAACTTGTCATGTGATCCTCCTCCAATGACCTCTCCTGTCCAGGAACACTTTGTTGATTATCTATGGATGATGGATGACAATGAATTCAGCAAGATTGCTACTTCGAATGATTTCCGGTTTCTGACTTCTGGCATAATAGAGTCCTAGAATCAACTAAGTGTTGACTCTCCCCTCTGATAATTTTCAAATATGTGAAATTTTATTAGCACTTAGGAAACCAGGCTCTCTCTTTTGTAAAATTAATTGCACTTGTTCCAATGGTCAGATGTCCTACTTGAATTCTACTATGCATTATAAGTTATTAGTTACCTATTCCAGGCATTTTTTGAGTTCACCTAGTCCTAACGCCATATCCATAAGATTTAAATGAATTGTACTACCGTACATGTGTGTGCTTAAGCATATATGATAGTGTGAAATCCTTAAAATTTTTAAGATTTTTTTTTACTGATCTAGAACAGTCAATAATAATTTCAAGAGTTATTATAAGTCTAAATCATAAATCGTCTTTGCCAGAACATTTATAGTGTTGTGTTTTAGCTTCCCTAATTTTTTTATAATTTTTTGGCATTGTTGAAATGTCGGTACAAGTGAGGTTTTTTGGACCTTCAGGTGTCCGTTTTGCAAACCGATTTCACAATAATTTTCTAAATAAAATGAGTTAATTTATGACTATCTTTATGTAATTTATGAAATCTCTAAAAGAATTTCTATGAATTATCTACTGAAAATTAATTATAATGATATTATTATATATTATTTAATAATAATAAATAAATAAATAATCTAAAGCCATTATTGCTTTATTTAAGTGGCCATTTCATTTTCCCAAAGCAGAAAAATGTAACAGAGAAGAAATTTAGGAATTAGGGAAGAGAGAGAAAATCAAAATTTGATTTTGGACGACTTCGAGCTGTTTTTGTCCGTCGACCCAGTTGGGAAACTTGTTCGTCCCGAGTTAAGTCACATTATGTCCATCTCAACTATAAAAAATGCGCAATTTTTAGCGAATTTTTCAATTAAAAATCATATCCGTTAGCGAAAAACACGGATAACTTTACACAGGTAAAACTTTTACTGTTTAACTTTTTATATGTTATATAGATTACAATTACGCATATTTTGAATATTTTCTGAAAATTTTACAACATGGGTTTTGAAATTTATGGGATTGTTATTGAATAGAAATTATTTGGATGTTGAAAAATAATGGTAGTACAATAAAAGTCTTAAAACATCATTTTACACAATCTATAATAATTTGATATTTTTTAAAAAATATGCATTTTTGCCTAATAATGTTCTTTGTTATCTACCTTATACAACACTATACAATTTTGATACATACTCAATTTTTTTTAATTGCTATAATGTGATGAAATAAATGCATATGTGATTAATTTTATTTGTTGAGACTTATAAGAGGCTAGAATCCTCTGAGATTTTGTCTATGTCAAGGAATTCCTGGATGTTATAAGGAGTCAGAATTCTTTGAGATTCTATCTGAGACAGAGATATGTGATATATTCTGGTGTTATAAATACAAATAAAAATGGAGTCATAAGGGGTCAAAATCCTTTGAGATTCTATCTAGGTTCGAGAAATATGACATGAACTGTTCTATGATATAAATTTTAATTTATTTATTTATTCAGTATTGTTATTTAAATCAAGGAATTGTTATACATTTATTATATCTCTCAGTATAGTGATTTATTTAAACTGCATTTAACTGTTTTAAAGATTCAGCAAAATATTTGATACACGAATAATTAAACATTTATATTAGTTTGTATGATTTGCTGAGCTATTGTAGCTCACTGTGATTTTGCTTCTGATTTTAAGAATCTTCGAAGGGGAAGGAGATTGTAGACTAGCAATTCAGGATTAGATCCGATGTCATAGGTATTTTGCTATTTTGATTTTTGTAAAGTCAATACTAGTTAAATTTTCAGTTATATAGCTCTTGTCTATAGTCATGTATTGTAGTATATATATTTATTTTGAAGAAATAAAAAAAAACTGGTGGACGAGTTTATTTTCAGTATTTGGATGTTTTAGTAGCTCTGTAGTCTATAATTTATTTCAATGAATATTAGCAGAAAATCTGAAATAATTCGAAAACTAAATCTTGGGATTTGCTTGTCACTGCTCAACACGATAGGAATTGTGACAGATAGCTTAAACAGAAAGCTACAGTATATTAGTATGTATGGAATCTGATTATGTAGATCAATTAGATTGTAATGTTGCATTGAACCTCAAGTCTATTTCTCTCGTTGGTTGGGGGGAGGGGGTGCGAGGGGTCCGCCCCCTGCTTGGGTTCGCGTGCAAATGCCATGGTAATGTCCATATTGGGGCCCCGGCACTGTGCACCCGAGCCCCCTGGTGGTGCATAGCTCGTTGGACATTTTCCTGTGAAATCAATGGAGAGAAGAGTGTCGCAACACTATAAATTTGGCACCGCAGTGCAGTGATCAGACAAACCAAATGATAGAGAGTGAGCATTGTAGCGCCCCAAACAAGTGCCTGAATGCTTCGAGGGTAACTAAATAGTTTTTATTTCTCGTATTTCTCAAGGGTGGCATCCCTCGGTGGTATATACATGTTTTTCTCGTTTGTTTATTATGAGAACGGTGTAAGAGAGAAGAGAAGCAAGGAGAGATCGACAGAGAAGAGAGATATGTACAAATTTCTTTTATTTTTTATAGTAGATTTCTTCCTGTGGTGTGGTTCTATGATCTTTTCCCGGTTTTGAATTTTTCGACGTAAAATTCTGGTGTCCTTTGCTTTTAGTTGCATTCTATTTTTTCTTGTTTGTTTCATTACGTGATTTACTGTCACATCCCCAACAAAGGCAACTTTGTTTCAGGAGAATTTCATTTTATGCTGTTAATGAATAAGTCTGCATCAGGATTATAAACTAGGTATTCTTGTTATTTCATTTTTTTATTTATTTAATTGATGGATAGAAGTAGAATCTTGAATGGTGACATTATCTGATAGCTCTATGATCTACGTTAGTGGATATATGTTTTAATGTTAAGGCACGTAAATGCCTCTGATTTGATCCCACATACTATTCGTGAAAAATATGTGTTCATACATATAGGCTGTCTCACTCATAAATCTAAAACAAGTTTAACTACTAGTCTATAAGGTTTAAATTTTGACCTCTTTGGTAAAAACTCCATAAAAATGTAAAATCAGGGCTGAGGATTGGTTCAATCGAGTGGTTAAGTCAGTTTGTGACTGCCAAGAGTTTTCGCACCTTTACCATGAAAATACTATTTCTTTGAGTGTTTTTGGAGATTTTAGTTTAGTGTGGAGAAGAAATACTAAATATCAGTTTTTGAGCTTCTTGATATTATTTTGGTTATTCATTATATTCACTCTTGTAAAAGCTTATACATAAAAATTAATCATTTTTCTTGCTAACAACATCATGAATTATCATTGTCACCATCTCATTTAATAATCATTATGATGGTTACAAAACTTGCAGCATGGTTGTATAATATGATCCAGATAATCAGCACTACAAGACTATTTTTATAATCTGATCATGGTAATCAACTTCATATATCATCACCAAGCATTCTTATCATCACAATCCAACTTTCCTAAGCACAAGTGGACAGTTGGCCTTTCATTCCCAGGTATTTAAATAGGAGGATAAAGTGGTCAGCTTCAATTTAATAGAGGACAAGGATTGTTAATAGTAATAATCAAAAGGGAGATTAGTGGACATGATAGGAAAGTTAGAAAATTGCAGTGATAAGGAAGTGGTCTGCTCCTAGTGCCTTCCAGCCCTCCCACCTTTGCTGGTAAGTAGTCGTGCTTCTCTATACCTCTCAACATCAGTATCACTTATCTAGGGGATGAAGGGGAGAGCAGTCCCAAACTTATAGAAAGAGGACCTGATAAGTAATTGAAATGATAGAAGATCGTAAGATGTGCACACAGCTACTTCCTCGTGTATGATATAGATCTCTGTTGGCATATTCATTCATCTCAAAACTAATCTAAAGGCTATAAAACCGATCCATACAGAAAACACTGGAATTTTGTTTCCCTAGTACCATATGTAATATGATTTTAGGAGATCTATGTAGCTTCATACTTTTAACTTTTTCATGCAGATGGAGGCTAGACTGTCGGTAGTTTCTAAGCTTGAAGTCTTCAAAGAGTATAGTGAGCGATGCAAAAGATACAATTTTTATACTTTATGAAAAGGAGATATATACAAAATAGTTAAACCAACAGATAAGAAAGCAAAAAAATTTAATCAAGTTGCATTAGAAGCAAAAAAAGGGTCTTATTTTAAGATAAAGACCACCAATAAAAGAAGGAAAAAAAATCTACTTCAAGAACTTATTAATTAAGATTTTGAGAAATTATTTTGAAAGAGCATAATAAATAGTATAATGAGATGTATTATAAATTGATCTAAAAAGTTAAATAGAACATGCTCTTAAAAAGATGCATAAAGATAAGGCTTTATGTGATACAGAGCATTTCTACAACAAGCTTTATAAAAGTCATGAATCTTAGATTATACGTAACTAAGGATTTTCGTGATGTACTCATTTTATTTTTTCATGCCTTTTCTTTCATTAGAAACTTGCGTTGTTGGGTTTTTTGCATTTTGCTTTATTTTTGTTAGAACCGGTTGGACCGGTTCAATCAAACCAATCCCCTAACCTAATAGAACGAAACGGAGAGTGCTGGCGAGTGGGTCGAGCAAGCATGTGGGCGAGCGACCGAAAGAGCGTGAGGGAGAGCGGCCAAGAAAGCACGAGGGCGAGCGGGCACGCGAACCAAGCAAATCAATGTGATCGCCAATTAAGATGCACAACTCCTCACGAGGGATCTCTATTTGTATGTCTTTCGTTGTCGTTCATAAGCACTAACATATTTCTTGTAGTTGCCTGAAAACGGGCCATTCTGTGTGTATTGAGTTTCTTACAACTGTGTGAGCTCAGAAAAATCGCACCCCGGCGTCCCCCACTTTTTTTCGGGGGAGTTTTAATGAATTAAGTTTCGAGGTAAATTTTCAAAAGGCAGATTGGATCGGAATAAGACACTAATCAGAGATTTCGTCCTCATTTTACGAGGACTTTATGACTTGAGTTCTGGTTTCCTGTAGGTGCAAGCCCCTATAGTTAATTATCCATCCCGATAATGAGAGAAAACTTTCAATTAAGGCTAGTCATCAAATAAATACATCGTACCCGTATATATGCAATATCTGGCATATAGTAGCAACAGGGGTTTAGGTATTTGAGAATTTGATATTTAAAATTAGAAATAGGTCATAT